AGGATTGATCCTGCAACCTAGACAACCCTAACCGGGAATCAAACCGTGGCCTCCTGGTTCATAAGCTGACACTCAACCACTGAGCCATGCTAGCCAAGTGCAAGTGTGTATTTTTAAAGGTAAACACCATTTTTTTGCTGATTTAAAAATATTAGTGATTTTATTTTCCCCATGATAGAACAGGGCAACCATAATAAAAAAATCTTCAATTAATATTGACCTGCATTCAAAATAAAACACAGATGTAAAAGAATTTAAACCAAGGTCGTTAACTACTTTTATTCAACAATATACTGGAGATTCTCCCCAGTGTAAAAAGACAAGAAGAAATGAAAGTTGTACAGATTGGAAGGGAAGAAACAAAACCTACCATCTCCATAAAAGAATTCCCACCCCAAAACAAATTACAAGAATAAGTGGATTTAGCAAAACAGTTAAATATGGGATCAATATACAGCAAGTCAAAAATTGCAAGTTTTGGTAGATAGCAGTATAAAGACATTATCTTCTATTAAAACCTTGCTAAATGTTTTACTCTGAGTAGATACCTAATTTTACTGAACGTATTTTCTGAATCTGATGATCATATATTTTCCTCCTTTAATGTGTTAATGTGGTCAATTACATTTAAAAGACTTTCTTTTTTTTTCTTTATAAATTTTTATTGTTCATATTATTACAAATGTTCCTTTCACCCCCTCCCCTCCATTGCTCTCCTCCATCAGGTTCCCACCCCACCCTCTGCCCTTTCTCCACCCCCCATTGCCCTCATCCATAGGTGCACAGTTTATGTTCAGTTTCTTCCCACATCCCCCTCTCCCCTTTTCTACAAGAATCGTCAGTTCACTCCCCTTCCATACCTCTGATTCTATTATATTCAACAGTTAATATTGTTCATCAGATTTTTAAAAAATTTCCTTGGTTTTTAGAATCACTTGTTGATAGTTACGTATTTGTTGTTCATAATTTTTATCTTTATTTAATTTCTCTTCTGAAAGAACCCCCTTCAGCAATTCATATAATTCTGGTTTGGTGGTGATGAACTCCTTTAGCTTTTTTTTATTTGTGAAGCTCTTTATCTGACCTTCGATTCTGAGTGATAGCTTTGCTGGATAGATTATCTTTGGCTGTAGGTTCTTACTATTCATCACCTTGAATATTTCTTGCCATTCCCGTCTGGCCTGCATGGTTCCTGTTGAGAAATCAGCAGACAATGGTATAGGTGCTCCTTTATAGGTAACTACCTGCTCTTGCTGCTTTTAATATTCTCTCTTTGTCTTTTGCTCTTGGAATTTTAATTATGATGTGTCTTGGTGTGGTGCTCTTTGGATTCCTTTTGTTTGGGGTTCTGTGTGCTTCCTGGACTTTTAAGTCTAATTCTTTCCCCAGGTGGGGGAAGTTTTCTGTCACTATTACTTTCAGTATGTTTTCGATATCTTGCTTTCTCTCATCTTCTGGGACCCCCATAATTCTGATGTTGGTTCGCTTGAAGTTGTCCCAGAGGTTTCTTACATTATCTTCAATTTTCTGGTTTCTCTTGCCTTCTTGCTTCTGCGGAGGAGTGTCTTCTGGCTCTTTATGTTCCAAATCTTTGACTTGATTCTTGCGATCTTCCATTCTGTTTTTAGGACTCTGTATAATATTTTTTATTTCAGTCAATGTATTCTTTATTTCTTGTTGATCCCTTATCATTTCTTGTTGATTCCTTATTAATTCTAGTTGATCCCTTTTCATATGCTCATAGGTCTTATCGATCTTTTCTAGGAAATTCTTGAAAAACCTTATAAGCGTAGATTTGAACTCTATATCCAGTCGCTTTTTGTCCTCCATTTCTTTCGTTTGTGATCTATTTCATTTCGAAATTTTTGCAGCTTTCCTGAGTTGGTAGCCTTAAAAGTCTCTGTGTTCTGCTTGGATGGGGCGGGGTTTCAGGGTGGAGCCTACAGCTTTGGCTTCTGTCAGCCCCGCCCTATGCAGGTCCTTCAGTACTCGTTGCAAGCGCCTCTGAGAGAAAGGTGCCCTCGATTTTCGCCTGCTGCCAAACAGTCTAGGCTCTCCCGCAATGAACCCGGTATTGGGGTTCAGTTCAGTTGGAAGTGGAGTTGGAGGTAGCGTTCAGAGCAGTCTGGAGCCCCTGTCTCCTTCCCACCAGGGCAATCCCTCGGCACAGCCGGCCATCCCTTCTCTGCGCGCAATGTGCACGCCTCAGGGACCTCCTTTTGCCGCTCCCCTAGGGTTCCGCCTTACAGCCCAGCTCCCTCTGTTTGAGCCTGGGTCCCCGGGGTCTGGCCTAGAAATGGGATTCAGAGCAGTCGGAACTGGGGCCCAACACAGTCGGAGCTTTTATCTCCTTCCCGCTAGGGAACGCCAGCCAGGCAATCAGCCGCCCTCCTCTCTGGCTCCGTCCTCTCTGCATGCGCCATGTGTCTTCATACCTTAGGCTTTTACAGCTCCTCTGCGCTTCTTTCTGGTTTCCTCCTTGCTTCTCATTGTAGAATTTCCAGTCAGTCAACTTTCCTGTAGTTCTGGGTAATGTCCATTTTATATTTTAGTTGTATTTTATTGAAATTGTTGTGTGCGGCTGCGGCTAGGGTTTACCTGTCAGCCATCTTGGAACGACTCACATTTAAAAGACTTTCTAATGTCCAAACAACATCTTCTTTTTAATTTTTACTGACTTCAGAGAGAAAGGATGAAGGAAAGAGAGACAGAAACATCAATTATGAGAATCACTGATTGGCTGTCTCTGAGGATCAAGCCTGCAACTTGGGCATGTGCCTGACAAGGAATTGAATTGTGACTTCCTGGTGCATAAGTCAACACTCAACTATGAGCTGGGCTCAAATCAACTTCTTAATCCTGGAATGAACGTGGTATATTTTGTTTTTTATGCTTTGCTGAATTTATCTGTCAATATAGCCAAGCACTGCAGAATGTGTCCCAGGCAGAATGTCTTTTGTTTTTCATTCCGTATTCACAAGACATATAACAATCAATACTAAGTTCGGCTTAATATTTTTACAGGAAAACTTTATATTTAAGCAAGATACATATTTAAAAAAAAAAACTATGAGAAGATTCTGAAATTACATTTAAAATAGAATTATTAGAACATGATAATCACAGGACAGTTTGAGGAGCACATCCATAAAGGAGACACGTGCCTTGCATGTTGCTAGTGTTGAGAGGCCAAAAACTGCCCATGAATAACTGTTTGTTAATAACTGTATCAAAAATTTGGCAATCAGGTGCTCGCTTCGGCAGCACATATACTAAGAATTTGGCAATCAGAAAATTATGTTTTCAGCACTTTACATCTTAATAGATTGCTAGCCATCCATGTATAGACATAGACATATTGCTTGTTTTAAATATGCTTTAGAAAGTTGGTTGAAGGTTTGGGGCTGACATGTAACAAATTGTAATTTTTCACATTTACAGAATAAGAAATAGGTTCCTGGTTAGTGTTTGCATAAACCATCTGATTTTCAGAAATTGATTATTAAAGTTAAGTGAGAGACGATGCTATTTCTGTTCTTCACAAATTAACCTTAAAATTTTGTCCTCCATATTTATCTTTAAAATCTGAGGTTAGTTGCTGAAGCTGGTTTGGCTCAGTGGTAGAGCGTCAGTCTGCAGACTGAAAGGTCCCAGGTTCGATTCCGGTCAAGGGCATGTATATTGGTTGCGGGCACATCCCCGGTAGGGGGGTGTGCAAGAGGCAGCTGGTCGATGTTTCTCTCTCATCGACGTTTCTAGCTCTCTATCTCTTTCCCTTCCTCTAATAAAATCTGAGGTTAGTCAATATTAATATGCTAGAAGCCCAGTGCACGAAATTCATGCATGCAGGGGGATGGGGGATGTCATTCAGTCTGGCCTGCATTCTCTCCGATCTGGGACCTCTCAAGGGATCAGACCTAAATGCTCAGTCGGACATATCTCACACAATCTAGGCTGCTGGCTCCCAACCGCTTGCCTGCCTGATTGCCCCTAACTGCCCTCCCGTGAAGGCCTGGTCACCCCTAACTGCCCTTCCCTGCAGACATGGTCCCTCCCAACTGCTCTCCCCTGCAGGCCTGGGTCCCCTCCCCCAACTGCCCTCCCTTGCAGGCTAGTCCCCACCCCAACTGCGCTCCCTTGCAGGCTAGTCCCCTCCCCGCAACTGTCCTCCCCTGCAGGCCTGGTCTCCCTCATCCAATTGACCTCCCCTGCAGGCCTGGGTCCCCCCCAACTGCCCTCCCCTGCAGGCCTAGATCCCCCTCTTAATTTCCCCCCTGCTAGCCTGGTTGCCCCCAAACTGTCCAGAAGGAAGTCGGATGTCCAGAAGATGTCCAGTCACCTGGTTTAATTAGCATATTACCCTTTTATTAGTATAGATTACAATCTCACTAATGTAGGTAAAGGTTAAGTCAGTCTAAATTAATTTAACACCAGAATAATAAAAATGTCTTTAGAAAGAAGTTTGATTGACATTAATAGCAAAGAGTATTTGATCTTGGCTAAAGCTCTAAGTACATGGACCAAATAATTTTAATTATAAGTCACATATATTCATTATATACTCTATGTATAGTGCTAGAGAATAGTTTGAACTTTTAAATGAATTAAGGCTGACACCCCTAAAATTTTATATTTATTTGCTAAGCAAGTTAGTGATTTTTAGGTAGATTGACCAAAGTTAAGCTTTTGTCCAAATAATAAAAAATTCTTAAATAGTGGGTAAAAAGAAATTACACACTGTAATTTACATATGCAAAGACATGAGACTCAAATACCTTGATGAACCATCTATTTAGTTGTGACTTGAGAATAAAAGCCAAACTCTCTAAGCCTAATTAAATTACCTGACTGAAATATTATGAAAATGTGCTTTAAATAGGGAGTTTCATAATCAACTGCTAAATTCAATTTCAGATATTTTGAAAAACATTTTAATATAAATCTAATTTTTTAAAAACTAGCATATCCCACAAGTATAAGATTAACCAATAATTCTTTACCTCTCCAGCACTCGCACATTCCTTGGCTCTTCTGTGAAGTGCAGCCCATGTATCTTCATACCTTAGAAAAGCAAAAAAATATTCAAAATGCAAAAAATAATTCAAAATTTTAATATTTTAAAACATTTAAAAACACTATTTAAAGATGAGCCTAGAGATTATCTTTCCGGAGGATCCAAGATGGCTGCGCCCAGGTGAATACCTAGTTGCAGCCTCACACAACAATTTCAATAAAATACAACTAAAATATAAAACGGACATTACCCAGAACTACAGGAAAGTTGACTGACTGGAAATTCTACAACGAGAAGCCAGGAAAAAACCAGAAGGAAGCGTGGAGGAGCTGGAAAAGCCTAAGGTACGGAGACGTGCGGCGCGCGGAGAGGACAGAGCCGGAGAGGAGGGAGGCAGAGTGCCTGGCGGGTGTTCCCTAGCGGGAAGGAGATAAAACTCCGACTGTGCTGGGCCCCATTCTGACTGCTCTGAACCCAAGCCTAGGCCAGACCCCGGGGACCCAGGCTCACACAGAGGGAGCTGGGCTGTAAGGCAGAACCCGGGGAAGCTGCAAAAGGAGGTCCCGGAGGCGGCGCCCAGTGCGCACAGAGAAGGGACTGCCGGCTGTGCTGCAGGATTGCCTGGCGGGAAGGAGACAGGGGCTCCAGTCTGCTCTGAACGCCACCTCCAACTCCACTTCCAACTGAACTGAACCCCAATACCAGGCTCATTGGGGAAGCATAGACTGTTTGGCAGCAGGCGAAAATCGAGGGCACCTTTCTCTCAGAGGCGCTGGCAGCGAGCACTGAAGGACCCACATAGGACGGGGCTGACAGAAGCCAAAGCTGCAGGCTACACCCTGAAACCCTGCCCCATCTGTAACTGCGAAATGCGACAACGAAACAGATCACAAACGAAAGAAATGGAGGACAAAAAGCGTTTGAATATAGAGTTCAAATCTATGCTTATAAGATTTTTCAAGAATTTCCTAGAAAAGATGGATAAGACCTATGAGGATATGAAAAGAGATCAACTAGAATTAATAAGGAGTCATCAAGAAATGATAAGGGATCAACAAGAAATAAAGAATACATTGTCTGAAATAAAAAATATTTTACAGAGTCCTAAAAACAGAAGGGAAGATCGCAAGAATCAAGTCAAAGATTTGGAACATAAAGAGCCAGAAGACACTCCTCCACAGAAGCTAGAAGGCAAGAGAATCCAGAAAATTGAAGATAATGTAAGAAATCTCTGGGACAACTTCAAGCAAACCAACATCAGAATTATGGGGGTCCCAGAAGATGAGAGAAAGCAAGATATCAAAAACATACTGAAAGTAATAGTGACAGAAAACTTCCCCCACCTGGTGAAAGAATTTGACTTACAAGTCCAGGAAGCGCACAGAACTCCAAACAAAAGGAATCCAAAGAGGACCACACCAAGACAAATCATAATTAAAATTCCAAGAGCAAAAGACAAAGAGAGAATATTAAAAGAAGCAAGAGCAAAGAAGGTAGTTACCCATAAAGGATCACCTATATGATTGTCAGCTGACTTCTCAACAGAAACCATGCAGGCCAGACGGGAATGGCAAGAAATATTCAAGGTGATGAATAGTAAGAACCTACAGCCAAAGATAATCTATCCAGCAAAGCTATCACTCAGAATCGAAGGTCAGATAAAGAGCTTCACTAATAAAAAAAAAAGCTAAAGGAGTTCATCAACACCAAACCAGACTTATATGAATTGCTGAAGGGAGTTCTTTCAGAAGAGAAAGTAAAGAAAGATAAAAATTATGAACAACAAATACGTAACTATCAACAAGTGAATCTAAAAAACAAGGAAATTAAAAAAATCTGATGAACAATATTAACTGTTGAATATAATAGAATCAGAGGTATGGAAGGGGAGTGAACTGACGATTCTTGGGGAAAAGGGGACAGAGGGGCATTGGAAGAGACTGAACATAAACTGTGCACCTATGGATGAGGACAATGGGGAGTGGGGAAAGGGCAGAGGGTGGGGTGGGAACCTGGTGGAGGAGAGCAATGGTGGGGGGGGGGGGAGGAACATTTGTAATAATATGAACAATAAAAACTTATTTAAAAAAATAAAATAAAATAAAATGAAAAAATAAATAAATAAATAAATAAATAAATAAATAAATAAAGATGAGCCTAGAATATCCTATGGTTTCTGAAAAGAAAAGCTAAAAAAAATGGGGATATATCATAAGGATACAGGAGTCACTTTGAAGGGGCTTCCAATGGTCAAATCTGGGAAAATTTGAGCAACACAATACATAATGGTAGAATTGGGTAATTAATTCAAAGAATTAAACAAACATCCATGATTGCCTCTCGAAATCCGGGGACTGCTGGCTCCTTACCGCTTGCCAGCCTGCCTCATCACCACTAACCACCTCTGCCTGCCTGATGACCTCTAACCACCTCTGCCTGGCTGCTGATTGCCCCTAACTATTCCCCTACCAGCTTGATCTCCCCTAACCACCTCTGCCTCGCCCTGCACCCGGGACCCAGGATTCCCTCCTCCAGCCAGTCACAGGCACCTGGGATCTGGGCTTCCCTCCCTCGGGCCGGCCACAAGGAACTGTGTCAGGTGGCTTCACCCAGGCTGCAACCATAGGTGCTGGCACCCAGGACCATGGAGTAGGCAGCTTGTCCCTCTCCCAGGCCACAGCTGCAGGAGCTGGTGCCCAGGATCACAGGGCAGGCGGCTTGTCCCTCTCCTGGGCTGCAGGTACAAACACAGCTGCTGGCACCCATGACCACTGGGTGGACAGATTGTCCCTCTTTTAGGCCGTAGCCCCAGCCACTGGCGCACGGGACCACGGGACATGTGGCTTGTCCTTCTTCCAGGCCACAGCCTGGCTTATGCCCATTCCTCTCTCACAAGCACATTTGTGCCTGGCTGGTCCCCATGCCTCTCCCCCCAGTGTTGAGTGTCTGAGCCATAACGGCATGATGGCCATTTGCCTATTAGCTCTTTATTATATAGGACTAGTTGCTTGGTGCACGTTTGTGCACAGGGGGGAGGGTGTCACTCAGCCTGGCCTGTACCCTCTCCAATCTAGGACCCCTCAAAGGATGTCCTACTGCCGGTTTACAGGGATCAGGCTTAAACTGGCAGTCAGACATACCTCTGGCAATTGGGATTGCTGGCTCCTAACCACTCACCTGCCTGCCTGCCTGATTGCCCCTCACAACTCTGCCTGCCAGCCTGCTTGCCCCCAATTTCCCTCTGCCAGCCTGATAACCCCCAACTACCCCCTGTGCCAGTATGCTCGCCCCAAATTCCCCTGTGCCAGTGTGCTCGCCCCCAACTTCCCTCCCTGCTAGCCTGCTCGTCCCCAACTGCCCCCTTACTAGCCTGCTCATTCCAAACTGCCTCCCACTGTCTGAATCACCTCCAACTGACCCCTACTGACAGCCTGCTTGCCCCCAACTGTCCCCTGTCTATTTAGCCCCAACAGCCCCGCCCCCATCAGCCTGATTACCCACAACTGCTATCCCATCCTGGCTCTAACCGCCTCTACTTCGACCCCACCACCATGGCTTTGTCCAGAAGAATGTCCTGAAGGTCTCCTGGAAGGTCTCCCAGCCTAATTAGCATATTTCCCTTTTATTAGCATAGATAGAGGCCTGTTGCATGAGTGGGGGTTGGCTGGTTTTCCCTGAAGGGTGTCCCGGATCAGGATGGGGGACCCCACTGGGATGCCTGGCCAGCCTGGGTGAGGAGCTTATAGATGTATGCAAGCTATTCAAACCCCCCAGCAGGGATCCTCACCCCTGAGGGTGTGGCCAGCCTGGGTGAGAGGATGATGGCTGTTTGCAGGCTGGCCATGCTCCCGAGCGACCCAGACTCTGAGCCCTCCTTTTTTTCTTTTTTCTTTTTTTTCAGAGCCTCCTTGAGTGGAGGCCAGGGCCGGCTGGAAGCAGGTATCTGGGATTTATTTATCTTCTATAAGTGAAACTTTGTAACCTTGAGTGAAGGCCAGGGCTGGCCAGGGCAGGCAGGAAAATTAGCTTCCTCCCTCACTGAGGACCACCCAAGCCTCCTGCTCACTCCAGCTCCGTGGCCACCACCATCTTTGTTGGGTTGCTTTGCATATTTGCTCCTGATTGGCTGGTGGGTGTAGCAAAATGATGGTTAATTTGCATGTTTCTCTTTTATTAGTATAGATGTTATCACAAATTTTTTTAAATTTAAAAATTTTTTAGATATCTGCTATTTAAAAATGGCTTTTCCTCTACTCAAGTATTAGTTCTAAAGAGAAAAGAATTTCAGTGCAATGAATGAACACATTTATAGATACCTTCCTATGATTGTAAATTTTTCATATTAAGTCCAAAAATGTACTCCATCCTAAAAAAAACTAGTAAAGACAAAAGTCTACATCTCCAAAATAAATCTTTGAATAAAGTCTTTCAACTAAATAATTAAAAAATAAAGATAAACCAGGGGAGCGGCGAAAACCCCGGAGTCACGCACATTGCACGCAGAGGACAGAATGTTGACCCTGATGCTGGATTGCCCTGGCGGGAAGAAATAAAACCTCCGGCAGTGCTGAGCCCCACTCCCGACTGCTCTGAATCTCAGTTCTAGGCCAATCCCGGGGGAACCAGGCTCAAGCAGAGGAAGACGGGGCTGTGAGGTGGAGTCCTGGGGGAGCGGCGAAAAGCGAGCCCCCAGAGTCACACACATTGCGCGCAGAGGACAGTCTGTTGACTCTGATGCTAGAAGCCCCTAGCGGGAAGGGAAAAAAAAGCTCCAGATTAGAGGAACGCGACGAGGAGCAGGAGCCCCTGCCAGACACCGGCCAGCCGGGCGCCAGCAAGGAGCCGGGCGACGGGGCCCCTGGGGGGAGGGGGGGTGACCCTGGGCCTTAGACCGCTGAGTGCGGGCCACGGAGCCGAGGCCGGGGGCTGCTTCCTGGGCGGCGCCGACCCCTGCAACAGGCTGAAGCAGCACAGGAGCCCTAGGAGAACAAAGGGGTGCCACAGGACAACCTGCTGAGCTTCCAGGACAAGGAGGAAGAAACCAAAG